GTTGGCCATGCAATGATAAGAATAATTTGGTGGCTGCCCTCAAAAAACCTCAATCAGTTGAAAGACAGTAAAAATCATGGCTGTTGAGGATTAGTAAGACAGAAGATACATAGAAAAGTAACTACTGAAAAATTACTGAGTGAATGACTCCCTCTCTGATGTGGATTCAAGAAAACTAGCTTCAAAAATAAGTTTTGTTGGTAATTCAGGCCACCTACCCAATTGATCAAGAGTCTATATCACCACATGCTAGACTTCTCTATTCCTTTTCCAGAGCAGCATTTACCCTACCCTTAACAGATCTTCCCTTCTGGATGTCTTGCCTACACCTTCCTGCTGCAGTGACCTGACACGTATTACTGCTCTGTTTCTGGTAGTAAGAGAACTGCTGCTGCAGATCTGGTTGACAACATCCACTGAGCCCTTTCTACTCCCTTCCAGAAGCCAATTAAAATGGGGAATCTGCTGGGGAGGTAACCTATCTCTATCGTCTCCACACTGGCCCTGATCCTCTTTTAAAACGTGAAGTTCAAAATGTAGCTGGCACATTCAAGAAACAGAAATTACACAAATTTCTTTTTAAATCTCACCCTAGCACACAGTTTTGCACACTCCAGAGGTGTGTTAATATGAATTACGAGGTGAATTTTTCCTCAGAGTTACAAGACCTGTAGCTGATTTCTTAGAAAGGGTCAATTCCTACCAAAGAGATCTGTATTTTTTTTGTTGTTGTTTATTTGTTTGTTTATTTTTTCCCCCACTTTCTGGCTTTGCTATACATTCTGGCTCAGAAATAAACCAACGGATGTTATTTAGATTATTTAGTTTCTGTTTCCTCATCTACAAAATGTAACTGGACGATTGCAGCTACTTGTACATGTGGAGCTGTAGTGATGCAAAGCCCTGTGAGAAACATCAGGGCTAGTATCAGGAGAGCTTCCAGAAACTAGAGAATCTCAAATCTTTTCCATGATGGTCCACACCTAAGATAGACAAATTGAGAATCGGAACCTAAGACTGGGACTTCAGATTTATTTGGGATGGAGATGGGGTGAAGCGTGTGCTCTGCAAAGTCAGGCATTGTGTCTCCTTGGGCCTTTCTTTTCTTCTTCTTCTGGCCCTGGGAGTTCAAGGCTCAGAAGCTAGAATAGAGTTAGTCTGTGACTTTAGGATTAGCAGACTGAGAATCAACATTAAAACACACAATCAGATTTTTAGGGTATAAAGGAGTGAGTATGATGGTGGCAGTTTGTCCCAGGTGATGTGAGACCATAGAAGAGGGGTTTTTAGGATGAACTATGAACTTGTTATCTCTATAACCCAAGCACCAAGCACAGTACTGGCACATATTAAGTGATGAAGAAATGCTTGTTGAATGTGAGTATGCAATGCCATCATACGAATGACACTGTGTTTGGCTCTGTGCCGAGTAGACAATACTGATGAAACATTATCCTTTTGAAATTACTCTAGAACTGAGCCTTGAGAGTATGGCTTGACTCTGAGTAATGTTTAAAAACCAGAAGCTGATCTGCCAAGGACTATTTTTGCTAAGTTTTGTCTGGCCTCTCTTAGTCACCATGTCACATTAGAGATGTGCGTTACTTGAGAGAAGAGAGCCACTGTGGTGACTCTACCCATCTTACAAATGGGAAATTGAGTCCCTCACTCAAAGTGTTCACTTGATAGCTTTTGCAAATGACCATAGACTAGCTCGAGTTTCATTACAATGTTGATGTCCTGGACCCACTTGTTCTTCAGGTTGTAATGAAGGCAATCAGCCTTCATTCAGATTCAGAATACTTAAAGATGCCTCTAATCATGATACAGCTGCATAGCTTAAGCAATTATTTTTTATATTGATGCTGGGATTGTAGGTATTCAGTGTACTTATTTTGGTCATCTTGTACTGCTTAGACACTCTGATTGCCAATTTCTCTTGTTCTCTGCTCTATCCCTTACTCTTGCAGAGTGCTTGGTGCAGAATAATTGCTCAATAGATATTTTTTAACAGAAATTTAAAATGTTTCAAATATTTTATGTTTGTTCATACAAAGAAGTGAGTGAGGGATAATTGTTATTTATATAACAAATTTATCTTATTTGACAAACAACATCCTTCAACATTTCCATGGGAATAATGAAAGGAGCCCTTAAGATTGAGAAGTGTGGTACCCAGTTTCCAAGGAAGGAGGCAAAAATGGACTTCGAAATGCCATCTTGTGGTCAGTAGTGGAATTGTTGGGACAATGGTTTCAGGCACAGGTAAACATGCGATCATTCATTCATGTAGCTAGTTTTTTACAGTGAGCTAGGTTTGGGGACAGAATAGTGAACAATTATGCTATGCCTTTTTGGAATTTATAGTCAAGTCAGAGGTACAGATGATAAATAAGCAATGTAAATAATCACATAGCTAATATAGTGAAGAAATAAAATATTTGTATTAAAAGAAAATTATAGAGAACTGGGTCTAAGTAAGATATGTAGGTTAAGAAACATCTTTCTGATAAGGTGCCATTAGTTGAGACCTGAAGGATGATGAGAGGGAGACAGAATCTCCTAGAAAAGAATAATGAAGGGAAGTAGAATGATTAAGAGCAAAGCCCTAAGACACAGAAGAGGTTGATGTGTTTGGAAGTAAAAGAAGACTAGACAGGCTGAAGCAAAGGGGAAAGGTAACACTGTACCAATTCGGGTATGTTGAAAAAATAAGTATACTGCTCAGAAATAATAGGAAATGAACCACTCATACATGTAACAGTATGGATGAATGTGAAAAATTTTCTACTGAGCGAAAGACACTAGACTCAGAAGAATGCATTATTTATTCTTTTATTTATATAAGGATCCAATGAGAAAAAAATTAATCTATAGTGAATGAAATCGTGTCAGGGTTTGCCTAGTTAGTGTCGAAAGGGGGTGATTGACAGCAAAGAGACAGGAGAACTCTTTATGAAGTGATGGAAATATTCTATATCTTATTTAGGCTGGTAGCTACACAGGCATTTACCTGTGTCAGAACTTATCAAACTGTGTACTAAAATATTTGTATTTTATAATTATATAGCAATAAAGCTAATTTTAAAAAGAAAAATGAGAGACTTACAATCGTTAACTGATTTGCTGATGTGGGGACCATGGTCTCTTACAGTTCTAAAACTTAAGAAGTATGAAAATGTTCCTTCAGGATACACATTCGTTTCAGGGGGCACTTTTAGAATCCAATAGCTGTTTCTTTCTGAGAGAAGCAAACATGTTCCTGATTCCTCTTAAAGCACCTTCATCTGATGTTGGTTTTAGTAACTTAAGAGCTTAAGTTTTGGAACCTTCTTCACTATTGATTGGCTTTGCAAGGAAGCTGGTGAATGAGGAAAAAAAAGTACAAATACAATGATTGTGATCAATACGTTTGTTACCTTGTTTGTGGTGATGGTATCACAGGTGTGTGCATATGTCCAAACTCAGTAAAATTAGGCATTAAATGTGTGCAACTTTTTGTACGCTAAGTACATCTCAATAAAGTTGAAAAAATAAGAAAAAATAAAGGAAATGCAGTTTTCTAAAGTAGCTTAAAATTTTAATTTAAAAGGAAATGGAATATTAACAAATGTTATTAAAATTTCTAGTGCCTTTCTCACTACCTTTAACTATGCATTATAGTTATCTTCAGAAGAGAATTTTATTTCTCATTCTTTTCCAAAAGTTCTTCATCCTGAAATCCATTGTCATCAGGGAATCAGCAATTTTTGGTAAGAGAGATCAACACTTGGCATGTCTAATTCTTATTGTTAGTTGTCTCAAGAAGCTGTGATTTTGGTAGCAATTTTACATCTAGATTTTCAAGCTTTTCTGGAACTTACTTTATTCCAGAGTCCCTGATCCTCTAGGATTGCCAACTCCACTCCTCTAGGGTTTGGCACTATATTAACCTTTTCTGTACATTTTTTTTGCTGTTTCAATTCCTTTTTTCTCATATTAAAATTACTTTTTCTCATATTAAAATTAAAATAAATTTTTAAAACTACATAAAAGTGCAAAAAGAAAATTAAATTACCACAAATATCACTATTCTGAGTAGCTATTATTGGCAATTAGACATGTTCTCTCAATCTTTTTCTGGGCATGTGTAGTCCCTTTTAGAATTGGCATCAGCCGTATGGACAATTGTTTTTTCTTTTTTTTTGCTGAGAAAGACTCATCCTGAGCTAACATCTGTTGCCAATCTTTCTCTATTTTGTTTGTCGGTTGCCACCACAGCATGGCCGCCAACAAATGGAGTAGGTCCGCACCCGGAACCAAACCCGGGCTGCTGAAGCCGAGAGTGCCAAACCACTAGGCCATGGGGCTGGCCCCTGTTTTCTATTTATTATTACATCTAATCGTTTTTCACATCCCTACATATTCTTTGCAAATACAGTAGTTAAATGATACATAATATTCAATTGCTCATTGCTTCATTTGGTTTCTCATAGGTCAATATTTGAATGTTTCCCTGTTTTTGTTTTTATAAATAATGAATCTATGCATGTTTTGGATTTTTTTTTTTTTTGCGAAAATTCTATCTCTATAAAGCGATTCCAAGACGGGCAAAAAATATGCACTTTTAAAATATTTTGATGAAAATTTCTAAACTTCTTAACAAGGTATACCAACTTATACTTCGACTGAGTTTAAAAATAATTTTTACCTTAGTGGTCTGTGGAAGACAACATTTTTTTCAAATTTTCACTAATTTGATAAGAGAACATATTTTTTACTGTGTTCTTGTGATGATAAACATAGGTTAACTCAGCGTTTATTATCAATCCCATCTCCCAGAGAGCTCTTGTTCTGGGCATCCTGAAAATTCTTCCCTTTGCTTCTGCAGGGTGGCCGACCTCTGAGCCAGCTGTTAGAGATGACTTTGTGATGATATGTGATAGCCTGGCCAACTTTCTTCATTTATGTCCCCAGATCAGCAGGGCGATTACGCTTATTGTGAAGCTGTGCCTCTTGGATCAGGGGTCTTTTCCACAACATCCTGGAATAACCCTGTCCCTGATCTGTTTGGTTCTAACTGCGTAGATGATGGGGTTGAGTGTGGGAGGGACCAATGGATAGAGATTAGCCAACACGATGCGAACCACTCGGGGCACATGATGTCCAAAACGGTGGGTGAGGAAAGTAAACAGGGCTGGGATATAAAAAGCCAAGATGACACAGATGTGGGAAGCACATGTGCCGAAAGCCTTGAGCCGGGCTTCACCAGAGGGCAACCCCAGCACTGTTCTCAAAATCATCACATAGGATATACTGATGACAGTTATATCAAACCCAACCACAGAGAAGGCTACAAAGAGCCCATATGCACGATTTACTCTGGTGTCAGCACACACCAGCTTCAGCACAGCCATGTGCTCACAATATGACTGGGGAATGACCTGGTTGGGGCAGAAGGGCATCCTGGAGACCATAAAGCAGAAGGGGCTCACCCACAGCAGTCCTCTCATCATCACAGCTGCCTCCAGTTTAAACACTGCAGATGGGGTCAGGATACTAGGGTGGTGGAGTGGGAAGCAGACAGCCACATAACGGTCCAAGGCCATAGCCATGAGCACCCCAGACTCCACAGAAGAAAAGGCGTGGATGAAGAAGACCTGAATGAGGCAGGCATGGTATTCAATCTCATGAGCATGAAACCAGAGTATAGCCAGCATTTTAGGTTGAGTGGAAGAAGAGAGGACCAGGTCAGTGAAAGCCAGCATGGCCAGAAAGAGGTACATGGGCTCATGCAGGGTGTGGTCAGTTCGGATTATATGGAGGACAGCACTATTTCCAACTATAGCCACCACATACATGGCACCTAATGGAAAGGCAATCCAAAACTGGGAATTCTCAAGTCCTGGGATCCCAAGCAGAATGAAGGACACAGGATGAGAAGAGCTGTTCCCTGAAGCCAGCATCACAGGATGGTTAATTTGTTCTCCATTGGGAAGATAATCTACTCTCTGCAGGTGATAACAATCAAATAAATCATTGTTATTATTTATAATTTTTTGGAAGGAGCAATTGAATAATAGGGTATTTGGGTTTAATGGTAAACTAGAATAATTTCCACTGTTTTAATAAATGAAATTTTGCAACATAATTTGATACTACTTTTTATTCTTTATGCATATTTATGTCATTCAAAATGGGGTCAGAACATACTAGCTGCAAGTGTAATTTTTTTATAAGAATCCATATTTTTCTTGTAAGTAGAATCTACTGATGGAAAACCATCTTGACAAATAATGTCATAGTAATTCTTGCTCTTCCATTTAGAACTAACAGCGAATTGTTTTAACTTTCCCATAGATCCTTTTCATCCCTTTGTTTAAGCCACTTGGACAACTTTTATGAGTCGAAAACCAGTCTGGAAAACAGTTTGACTTAAAGGCCCATAGCAGTGTATGTAGTGATGTTGATTTAGCTTTGACTCTAGGACAGTTGCCACAGGGATTTGAACTGGCAGATCACTGACTGACCAATTGTCACCTGTAATTAAACTGAATATTTTAATGTATCACTCCTCCTACATTAGGATTCAGCAAACTTTTTTCTGTAAAAAGTCAGATCATAAATATTTTAGCCTTTATGGGCTGTGTACAGTCTCTGTTGCAACTAGCCAGCTTAGCCATTGTAGCATGAAAGCAGCTATAGTCAATACATAAATGTGTGAGTGTGGCTATATTCCAATAAAACTTTATTTAAAAAAACAGACTGCGGGGCCGGCCCCGTGGCATAGTAGTTAAGTGCGCAGGCTCTGCTGCTGGCAGCCCGGGTTCTGATCCCGAGCATGCACCGATGCACCGCTTGTCAGGCCATGCTGTGGTGACATATCATATAAAGTAGAGGAAGATGGGCACAGATGTTAGCCCAGGGCAAGTCTTCTTCAGCAAAAAGAAGAGGATTGGCATGGTTGTTAGCTCAGAGCTGATCTTCCTCACAAAACAAAACAAACACAGAAAAAAAACAGACTGCAAGACAGGTTTGGTCTGCAGGCTATAGTTTTCTAACTCCTGTCCTAGATGATAAATTTTCACAAAGTCAGTCCTGAATCAGGCACTATCCCTAGCACCTCTGTTTTTGGCACAGAATAAGAGTTTAATGAACATTTGCTGAAGCAAATAACAAATAAATGCCATTATTCAGTGGCCATGAACTTATTAACTGATTAACCATATCTTAAAGTGTTCTGATAGAATCCTCTAAACACTGCTTTGACACCAGGCCCACAACAGATTTATGTCCATTCCTCATACTAGAGGTTGCTCTGCTGGCCAGTGAATGACATTGTGAATGTCATCCTCTGCCGGTACCTGCATTACATGGGTTGATCCTACTGTCTGACCTCTCTGGTGACCACTACTTATCTCAGAGCCAATGGAACAAAAACTCACCTGGTCTTTACCCAACACCTTTTCACTATTTAATCTCAGTTGACCTGAGCCTTTGTTTGAAAGCATTAGTTCTTACCTTCTCCATAACAGAAACACATTAACGGGAAGAATAGCTTTTCAAATCCCCCTTAACAAATCACCTGTGGGGACTAACAGAGGTTTCATTCACCCAGACCCAATGGTTCCTAAAAAAGTCTCTTCAAGAACCCAAATAGACTTAACCTCTGTCTGACTTGCCCTAGATTTACAACATTATGAGAGAAATGGGCTCAGAAGTTTTGGGTCTTGCTCTAAGTTGGAAACTTTACCATCCTGCTTAGATAACAGCTACAGATTTCCTCAAAACAAATACTCCTCTCTAGGGTATAGTGAAAAATCATAAACACACACATTATCCAAGGGTCTAGGCTCTGTTTCATCTCCTTCTGCCTGGCCTAGTCTTCCAAAACAGTTATAAATTCTGTTTGAGCCAGAGTCTTCCTCCATCCCTCCCTTTTCCCCCTGTATGTTACCCTCCCCTTGTGGGGACATAGTCACTCAGTTGCAGTGGCAGCTGGAAAAGCATACTTAGACCATTGTCATTCTTGCACTGGCTACTGGAAAGATTCTAACTAAAGATCCAATTTCCTAAAGTGCATAATAGTCTCTTTGATTAATTGTGGAAGGCTTTGCTATTTTTATAGACATAACACTATAACCTTTTAAATTTTATTGTTTCTAACTTTCACAAAGCTTCTGCATCATTATTTTACAATGAGAAAAAATAGAGTTCAGAGTAGTTACATGATTTTCCCAAGATCCCATAATAAATGAGCGCCAAGTGCACGATTCCACACCCAGCGTTCTTGGTGGTACATACCACTGCCTCTGCCAGAGGTATGAGTGGGTTGCCTACATTGGTTTGGGTGAAACAGAGATTGGTGCCCTATGGTGACAAAGGCAAATATGAAGGGGACTTGCAAAATGATATACTAAATCACAAACAGATCTGCATTTGAACAGAGAACCTCTGCCACTTCACTGAACTGGCTCTGGAATAGGTTCCAGGTCAGTCTTGCGACATTTCTGGGTATGGGCTGCTTTCTCTAGGATGGTATCTTTATTAGGTTTTGCCCATGAGCCTTAATGGAGAACTCACCTGTTCTGCATACTCTTTTTGGTGTGGTGACTCTTCTCAACCAGATTTCAGCTACTCATATTCTGCAGCCCCTTTCAAAAGCCAGTTTCTCTCCTATGCTTCATCTATATCCCAGATTCTCCAATGGCCTTTTCATGGAGCAGAGCTCCCTCATAAGAGATGACTCTCAGCTTCCTCATTCCATTCTCTTGGTTCTGATTTTCTGTTCTCAGAGTTTCAGTCTTGGGCAAACATTGGAGGAGAGGGCTGACCTGGGACCCAAGTCTGAAGTGAGAGATGGGGGCCCTTGACCAGTGCCTCTTTCCTTTCTGCACTTTCTGTTGCTGTCCTATGGAATCTGGTGACTTCACTACTTGCAACTCCTTTGTCCCTTTTTCCCTCACAGCTTTATGAGCTCAACATGTACAGAGTTAAGACTGCAAGTCATGTGGAGTAGACAAGGAGTTAACCACTGCTCAGTCATTTGTGACCAGTGTGTGAGGTTTTCAATACTGTTTCTGAGGGGAAACACAGATTGTCAGCTTGCTGCTGGGTTGAGGGATGGAAATGTGCATTCCCTAAAGGATAGGAAAAAGAAGCAATATTAATTTCCCTTCTTGCCCAACATTGCCTTCTCTCTTCCCTGCTGTTAAATATGCCCCCTAACCCTCACGGGCTAGAACTCTTGTGAACATAGTGCATACTGAACTATGAAATTACATCATCTTTTTCAAGCATGACAGCTGGGGTGATCAAACATTGAACTTCAGATTCAATTTTTCTGTTTCCCAAAATACAATCTAACTCATGAGAACTCAGTATAGCTTTTGGTTCAGGGATCATGGTAACAAGAACTAGGTTCTCACACTGATGGAGCTCAAATTTCATCTGTCAGTATGAGTTTGAATCCAGCAATGGTACCCACTGGCTCTGTTGGCCCTCAATTACTCCATTCGTTAAATGGAAATAGTTAACCTCTCACTTCAGGGATAAAGAATAAAATGGGCTGAGATCTTGCTAAGGAATAGCTTCAGGGAAATTTAGACTGTTTTCTTAATTTTGGGTATCCAAAACTAAGGCATAGAGCAATATTGCTGGAACAAGGTGGGGCAATCCATCTTCCTTTGTGGAGGAATTGTGTATGGAGGATGCCTTCCTATTTTTCTAGAGTTTCCCAGGAGGACATGAGGTGAGTAGTGAATCTTCTCCCTATCTCAGAAGGAAGCTCAGCAATCATGTATCTCTGATGGATTTTTTCCATGGCCCACAGCGAGTCAGGCCATTCCTCGCAGTGCATTACCTTGTCTTCCAGCTTCTTTGAGCCTCTGTGAGTCCTACGGCTCTCTGGAAAAGGAGGCAATGCCTGGGGCATAGGGAACCACTCACCATGAGCTCTCCTTTATCTCTGACCAAGCCCGCATGTGACCATAAGCAACTCTACTTGGCTCCGGGGATTCAGCCTTTGGCAGAGACCACAGATTAGGGCCTATTTAAACACCTGCAGAGTCTAGCCTCTCTCTTCCCCCAAGCATTAATTCTCTCTTCCCTCCTAAACCCTGCTGCCTCATACTCAACACTGGCTTCCTCTGAGATCAGAGACTACAGCTGGAAGCATTAACCCCTAACTTTCCTCTCTCCTCTGTATACACAAATGCAAAGGCAGGGATTTGAATGCTTTTGCAAGAATGTGTGTTGTTGAGATTACACGAGTGGGAGTTTATCATGTGTGTATTTTTTGTTAGTCAAAGTATGTACATGTACAATTGAAGGGATATTTTGTGCAACGTGGATGGCAATTGATTCAACCTCCAGACCCCTCCCGTGTCCCTGAAAGTTCCAACCCTCTAATCACATTGTTGGTTGCCCTGGCAGCCAGCCCCCATCCTTAGGTTTTCTAAAGGCTTCCCAAAAGACACCTTTATCACTCTTATAGGAAATTCCAAGGGTTTTAGGAGCTCTGTGTCACCAATAGGGTAGAAAACCAAATGTATATTTCTTATTATAAATCACAATATCATGGGGGTTTCCTCACATTACCAAAGGTTTCTCAGACTCCATCTGGGTGTTCTACCATTGAACTCAATTCTGACACTATCTGTCTGGAGAGAGCAGCACATTCCACTGGTTTAAAACCTAGGCCTACAAGTCTGCCCCTTCTCACACTCACTTCAGACGCCAATCGCAAGTCCAGGTTGTTACCTGTACTTCTAATTGACAGGTTATATATCAAAGATTCTCATAACTCTCTCCTTGGATTTGATTATTTTGCAAGAACAACTCACAGGACTCAGGAAACCAGTTTACTCACTAGATTATCAATTTATTACAAAGGACACAAATCAACAGCCAGATGAAGAGATACATAGAGTGAGTTCCCAAACCAAAGAGCTGGTGTCCTGGTGAAGTGTGGGGC